TGTATACTGCTTTGAATACCTTTAACTATCCTTACGGGAATTTGTTAGTCGGCAATTGAAAACTAAAATAGAAAAACATGTTAACTGTGTCTTATTTTTTATATTGAATTGGGACATTGTTTTGTATCTTTTAAAGATTCTGATGAAAGAGGACATAAAGTCATTAATTAAATGTCTAATGGTTATGTTCAACATCCTCTGCTTGGTAATATGTGGTGATGATTTGCCAGAATCTATGCGACTTGAATTATGCCAATGGACTATTGAAAAAATATTGAAGATCAAGTTGTCTGTACAGTGCACTGGGAGGATGAAGAGAAGAGCCATAAAAGTGGATGAGGAAATAATAATAGGGAGTTTGCTCACTGCTGGCAGCCTGGCACAAGGTTAGTGGACTGAATGATCAAAAGGGTGAGGAGAGGCAAAGTCTATAGGAAGTCCTGCATGGCAAGGCTTGTGAAGGTGCTACCAACAGCACTAAAGTTGCTGTCAAGCTACTCTCAGAAAGACTTGGTTTTCACAGTACATGAGCTTATCCTTGCCATCAACATTTTCAGGGCCTATGGTACTCAGGCCAAGGTAAGGTGTGTCTTTTTCAAGAAAAGGAGTAAGGGCCAGATCGATAATACGATAGTTAGGGTGTTTGCCTTGAAAGTGGGCGACCTGGGTTTGATTCCCGACATCCCATATGGTTCCCTTTGTACTGCTAGGAGTCATTTCTGAGTGCAGAGCCAGGAATAACCCCTGAGCATAGTCAGGTGTGACACAAAAAGACCAAATTTTAAAAAATAAAAGCCCTTTTTTGTAAAAAAAAAAAAAAAAAAAGAAGAAGAAAAGGAGTAATACCCAACTCCATTGGGGTCCTGCTTCTTTGACTTTCACACATGGAAGAATTATAGAAGAAAATAGTGAAGCATAATCACTTTATTAAAGAAAAATGAGATATGTTCAAGAAACAATGGGGTTCTCCAAAGAGAAGAGAAACTCCCCAAATTATTTTGGGGTTAATGAAAGATTCATATCTTTCCCAAAATGCCTTAGCCTGGGGTTTTCATCACTCTGAGCAGATGAGAATGATCAGGGATTCATTGTTGAGTAAAAAAAAGACTTGGAAATTGAAGTTATCTTCTTTACTTGGGTCTTTTTTTGGGGGTTTGGTTGGGTCTGAGTGGTCCTCTGGACAACCCTTTTCAGATAATATGTAATCTTTCCAAATATTTATTAATTTTATGGAATTACTGTCTGTTTCATAGCACCAAATTTGCAACTTAAGAAAAGGATGAACAGTGATATATTATATAATATCATAATATATTATATGCACTATGAAACAAAGAAATAGGGGTTGGAGCAATAGCACAGCGGGTAAGGTGTTTGCCTTGCATGCGGCCGACCAAGTTGGCCCAGATTCGATTCCTCTGCCCATCTTGTAGAGCCCGGCAAGCTACTGAGAGTATCTCGCCCACAGGGCAAAGCCTGGCAAGCTCCCCATGACATATTTGATATGCCAAATAGAGTAAGAAGTGTCACAATGGAGACGATACTGGGCCCCCCACTCGAACTAATCAATGAACAACAGGACAGTGATATGAAACAAAAAAGTACTTGAATCTATTGTTATTTTTATAAATTTCACATCAACAAACCAATATTATAATATTCTCATCTATGAGTTTTGTTTTTAAACAAAGAAAAACTTTGGAAATTCCACTATAGCCAACAAGATGGTTAACATTTATTCTAGAAGTTTCCAAACTTATTTGGCTATGTCTTAAAATAAAAAAAAAACTTAAAAATACTCATTTTTACCCTAAAAACTAGTTTAAGCTAATATATTAAAGGGGCTCAATACCACCAACAGAACTATGGCCCACATGAATCATCCCTAAACCTCCTGAGGGAGCAATATTGGCCATTTATAAAACACTAATACGCTGCAGAACTTGTAAAACAAAGATATCTTTAAATTTGGATGCAGCCTTGGTCTTTACATAGTCCTTGCCTTTTTCTTTTTTTTTATAATTTATTTATTTATTGAATCACTGTGGGAAAAGTTACAGAGCTTTCAGGTTTAGGTTTCAGTCATGTAAATATCAAACACATTTCCCTTTACCAATACTTATTTTTACCCGTGAATCCCAATAGAACCCCACCTCCCACCCCTCCCAATTCCTGTGAGGCAGATGAGTTCTAGTTAACACTCTATCTATTTTGACTAGATTCATTGTTTCGATAAAAGATGCACCATTATTATTTAGAGTTTACCCCCCCCCCCCAAATCAGACATGCTGAAAAAGCGTTGTGAAATGATTTGCTTTCTACAGCTGGGTTCAAGAATTAAATGTTGTCGCAGCCGAGCGGTTTTGGATTTCTGCTATTTTACTTATTAACCCTGGAAGTATTTCTATTAAAAGTTAGATAGTTAAGAGATTGGTTTCTGTGCTCTGGATTCGTGGCCGTGCCGGAGAGCCGCTCGTGGGGGGCAACTGGTGACCTCGGTAGGGCGTGAAAGATGGACCGAAACCGCCTTTTTCTTTTTGAGATAATTATTTTTGAGGCAACAAACACTTAAAGGGAAGGAAAAGGAAGAAAGGAAAGAATCGAGGATGGGAGGAAGGAAGCTAAGCAGGAACTAGATAACAAACCCCGGATACTTACAATCCAGGACAGTAACCTCCATTTGTGCAAATCTACAAGCAGAAAGGGACACCAGAGGTAAAGTATTTCAGCATACTCTTCTTTTAGTTAAGCCAGCTTGTCTTCAACAACCCACACAGAAAAAGAAGCAGAATTAAGGTTGTGGAGTCCCTAGGTCCCTAAGCTATTTAATTGGAGTCCTGGTCCAAGAACCCCTGTGATATTCTCAATTTTCAATCAATAACATATAAATTGTCCTTTATCAGCTTCAGAGCTTTCCCAAATTTTGCTTTCTGTCACTCCATAGTGACATGTGTAGACTTATGTTCCCAGTGGGCAGTGTTCTGTTTTGTACTTACTCAGTGCAGGAAAATAATAAAGACTCATGCTCCAGGTGATTTTCTCTAGGATGATGCTTCCAAGCATATCCTTGATGTTCCTAAAAAGACAAAGAATAAAAAGGATACAAGGGCAGTAATGCCTATTTTTACATTAAAATAGTTAATTATATGTCAGTATTACCTTATTAGAAAAAGCCACACATATTTAAATTTGACAGTGTTGAAATTTGAGTTCCTGAGTATACACCTACCTGAGATGAGTACTTTAATGTACCTACCTGAGCTGAGTACTTTAATGTAGTACCTTACTTAATTCTTAGTATGGAATGAATAAGGAACATGCCACTCCATCTATACTCACGACCGACTACAGAAACTGAGACTGATTTACAGGGTTAATAACTGGTGAGCTGAAGTTGAATTACACTTGTTTATTTTTAATTTTTTTTTTCAGTTTTATGTTCACAGGGAAAAAATACTTTGAAAGTAAAGATTTCTCATAATGCCCCATTGTGAACCTTCCTCCATTGCCTGGTAATCTCATATCGACACATTATAATCACAGCAAAGTACTTAGAATACACTGGGATCAATCTTGATGTATATTCGAAGGATTTGGATAAAATCCAGTCTAAAGATTGGTATGCATCTAAGACATAATATTCAGTCCGCTCCTGTCTGCTTAACACATTTGAAATCGTAAGACATAAGCAGTCCAGAGTATGTAACTACGTGGTCAGTAAAGGACGCAGAAGGACACGTTTGTATCCCCAAGAACCAATGGTCCTGTCCCCCTGTCCCATCCCGAGGCTACGCGTAGTCAATCTCTGCTTGTGAACACAGTATAACGAGCAAGATGCCTTCTTCTAGAGTCTCCATTGAGCCGGTGGGTATTAGAATAAACGATTTCACAAAATCAAGAAGAATGTGTGCGCTGGAGTCAAATTTGCCTTAAGCTTGAAACAGCTGTATTAAAGTTCACCAGCCCCAGACTCTGGATGAATGAACCTCTCCACCCCTAATCTGTGTGGCAAAATAGCAATACCTCCTTCCTGGGGCTGGGGTAAGGGTTGTGGGCCTGGCAGTCCGGTGTACTAAAAGTTGTGATTCCCAAACCAGGAGCCACGGTGTGAGTTAGGAGACGGACTCGGGTCATAACATAAGGAGTGTGCTCAGTTGTCTGATTCGAGGAGCATTTTGTGTTAAGTCCCCTGACCCCTCGAAGACGTAAGAGACACTATTTTGCCCCACATGGACGAGTTGACTTCACCCTCCAACCCTCCAGCCTTTCCGTTGAAGACTCTCTAGATCTCGGCCAAGCAAGATGGCAGGGCTGGGTCTAACTGCCTTCATAGCTGCCCAAGCTGGGCAGCACAACCCTAGCGTGGGCCTCAGCGTTGCGTCACAAGCCCCCTGAGAACCTTCAGGGGGCAGCAGGTTCGGGCCAGAACCCCGCCTCCAGGAGCTGGAGAACCACTTGACGCTGATTGGCTGTTGCCAGGCAACTGAGGATGTGCTAGGCACGCGTTGGCCGGCACTGGCCAGTATTTAAAGGCCGCGACTAGGCCCGAGTCCCTTCAGTCCGGCTTGGACGGAGCCGGTGGAGCCCCTGGGTTGAGAGGGAGCAGCAAGGTAAAGCGCACCCCCCGGCCTCCCCGAACCCCCGCCGGCGCCTCGGCAGAGGCGGGTGTGTTGGGGGGCCCGGGAGCAGGTCTCACTGCGCTGCGCCCACCAATACCTTCCTCCCTCCCCCCCTGCATCCTTAGGCAGCCCCAGTTCCACCCAATCCACCTGGGCGAGACAACCCCGTGAGAAGGACCCAAGATATTGAGACGCAGAGCGAGCAAGCAGAACTTGAGAGAGCCCCTCCATCCCCCGAACCCGAAGTGCTGATTCCAGTGCCAGGCACGTGGCGCTGCCAGCCACCTTCCAGCGGGGGAGGCTCTAACGACTGTAGGAACTGGGCCAGACTTGCCACCTTCGGGGGGGCTGCCACTTAGACCTCTCAGAGCTGCCTGCATCATGACCCAGATCCCGGACCAGAGGGAGAACCCTCTGAACCTGGGCGGCGGCGGCGGCGGCTGGACAGCCTCGATGCCATTCCCCACCTGGTCTTCCTGCCACCAGAGGCGCGGGGGCGCCCCGACGTACAAGCGGCGCTGCGGCTACCGTCCCAAGGCCGAGTACGAGTCCCCGAGAAAAAAGGCGAAGCCACCGCAAGGCCTGGGCCCCTGGTGTCCGCCACCCCAGCAGCCCTACTGGGCCCTGTACTCCAACTGGGGGCACTGGAAAGGACCCTGGCATCCACCTCCCGCGGGGTTCTGCAAGCCGCCCGCCCGCGTGCCCGTGTTCTGGCTGTACGGCCCGCACCCGCGCTGCCCCTGCTGCTGCTTTTGCTGGGGCTGCCCGAGCACCCCGGTCTGGCGCCGGGCCCCGGGCCGCAAGAAGCGCTGGGGTCGCCGGGGCCGCTGGCTGCGCCGCCCACCCCGCCGCTCCAGCCCCACCGACCCGCCAGTGGATCTGAGCAAGCTGCTGCGGCCCGTCAACCTGTACGGCTGGCGGGCGCCGGGCATGCGGGCGCCGCGCAACACCACCCAGTTCATCATGGACCAGATCTACGAGGACATGCGGCAGCAACAGGAGCTCGAGCGGCAGCAGGAGGCGGAGCGGGCGCTGCAGGGCGGCGCGGGGGGCACGCCCCCTGCCGGCGGCGGCGAGGACGACGACCAGCTGCCCCGCTCTCTCCTGGATTTCATGCAGGAGCCCTCTCTGGTCTTCAGCCCTGACCCCCACCAGGACCAGCAGTATCCCGAGGCACTGCACGCGGAGGAAGAAGAAGAGAAAGGAGTGGAGAAGGAGGAAGAGGAGGAAGAGGAGGAGGTGGGGGAAGAGCATAAGCGGTGCTGTGAGGAGTGCGGTGAGAAAGACTCGGAGAGCGAGGAGCAGGAGGAGGAAGACGAGGAGGAGGAGGAAGAAGAGGAGGAGGAGGAGGATGGAGAGGAGGTGGATGAAGAGGCAGAAGCCGGTGAAGAAGAGGAGGTTGACTCTGGAGAGGATGACTTTATGGAAGAGGGGGAGGAAGAGGAGTTTGAAGAGGAAGAGGTGGAGATTCAGGGGGAGGAGGAAGAGATGCGGGAGGAAGAGGAAGAAGAGCCGGAGCAGAGCGGGGAAGAGAATCATTTACCTCTGGGAATGCCTTTATCAATCCTAGTTGGGGCTGAAGAAGAGAGAGAGAACTTTATAAACTGTACTTATTTTAGCCCAGAAAACATGCACAAAGTGTCTCAGGACCCTTTTTTCAGGGTACAGGACATTAACTGTTAGATATCAGGAAAGGGACGGGGGAAAGGGTTGGAACTGATTTGAAGCTAAAACAAATGAGCAATTTAGTAAAAGGAGCTAAAGAGTGAGTTCCATTAATAAACATCTGTAAACCCTTTCTTTGGCCATTATAAAATGCTTAAACATTGGTGTGTTCGTGTATGACTATGGGTGGGGGATGGAAGATTTCCATTTCAAATAAATTTTAATTGGAAACGATTAAGGTAGTTATCACTACAATTTAAAAGTTTTTATTTAGAGTTTTTCTCTAAACAATTTAGGGATTTTGTTTTACTTTGTTTTTTAATACTGACAATGAGAAACATCTTTTTTTACAACAAATTTACGCAATTTTTCTACTTTATGAGCTTGAAATGTACAGATATTTGGACTGTTTCAGAGGTACCTGCCATCACTTTGAATGTTGATCAGAGCTCTGAGCATAACAAACAAATTTTAAATGTCTATTTTTTTCTTTTAGACTTTTTGCTTTCAGAGCTCATGTTTGAGGGTTGTCTTTTGATAACCCCATAACGCAGTCTCTCCTGGCTTTGCTCATTTATATTCCTTGTTCCACAGTGCTATGGATCTTCCTCAGAAGAACATGAAGTTGCTTCTGTGGAACTGGTTCCCATGGCCTCAACAATCCATAAATCCATGCATGGAGAGGATTCCCCATGGTCAGACGTCAACTTGCACATCTAGTTAAAATCCAAGGTAACTGCAAAGCATGGAACATAGCTAAGATTTTACAGCCTTGTTCCCTAGATAATTCCTTGCCATAAGTTTACAGGAATCATAAAGCTAGTTTTTGCAGAATGGATTTTTTAAAAATTTTCTTAGCCTTCTAGATGTATATCTTATTTCCCAGTATCTGCTCCTTATAAAGGCAGTAAGGCCAAAATGTATTAGTGCTAGCCTGTGTGAGCTAGTTTCTAAAGTCTAAGCAATCACCTATGGAAAATACGTCATTTGAGTATAATAGCTTTTTTTTTTCTTCTAAGAAAGATAATGGATTTCTTCTTAGGAACTTAATTTTCATAACTCAAAGGTTTGATTCATAGCCTATTTCAAGAATAATTTGAAGCTGCCATCTCAAAAAGTACATTGTTGACAGAACTATATAAATATAATTTGAAACACAATTTAGTATTTGTTGAAGAGTGATATGTAATCTGAATAATGATTTACATTTATATGTTCCAGTGCAATAAAATTATACTTCCAAGAAATATTAAAAGAATAAAATAAAATGATAAAAAGACAATGCTTTTTCTTTCTTGTTATTTAATCATCAGAAATCTATTAAGCCATACTTCAGTGGTCAGAATAAATGGAGAAAAAAATTAACATCTGTAGTAATTTTAAAATTATTTCCAATGACGGGGCTGGAGCTATAGCACAGCGCATAGGGCGTTTGCCTTGCACGCAGCCAACATGGCTGACCCAGGTTTGATTCCCAGCATCCCATATGGTCCCCCAAGCACCGCCAGAAGTAATTCCTGAGTGCATGAGCCAGGAGTAACCCCTGAGCATCACCGGGTGTGACCCAAATAGAAAAAAAAAGAAAAAAATATTTCCAATGATAGCAGTGTGTACCAAAAATTGAATCATACTTTTAGAAATAATTTTCTACAAGATAGAATTTCTAGTGATCTATAAAGGTAGTATAATGGTCTATAAAGATAGTACAAAATATATCATCTATAAAGGTAATATAAAATGGTCATGCCTGTGGATTATTTTGGGAGGAGAAGGGCAAACAAAGAACCTTGCTCTTGATACTAGTTAATAAACATTGCAGATTATAGTCCATAACAATATAGGCCTTTATTTCATATATCCAGATAAAAACTTGAGTTTTACCTATGTTCTCACTAATGATTGAATTTTCTCACAATCACACTTACAGAATATATCCTCACTTTTACTTTGACATAAAAATAATGGAGCACGTTACTTGGCTCCTTATATATGTCTTTATCCACAAGTCATTCTAAGAAATGCAGATGTGCAATGCTTAAAGAGTATAAACCAGTTCACAGACTGATATTCAGTAAACTTTTAATGACCCACTGAAGACCAATAAATGTGAATTAAAGATAAAGATACACAATGAACAAGTAAAATCTCTACTCATGGTCTTGGTAGAAAAGAATATTTAGTGCAGAAAGACAAATTTGCCAGTACAAGCTAGTAAAGGAAATGATAGCACTTTGAATGTATATATCATACAGTCTACCACTGAAGCAAGGAGATTTACTGTGGAGAGTTGTAAAAGCAGAACTAGGAAGAGGAAACGAGGGCAGAGAAACCAGAGTTCGGGAGAAATAGCCAAGGAGAAGAGATAGGTAGAAACCATAGTCTGTGCATTTCTGTGCAATTTCTTACTTCTGAAACACAAAAATTAATGACAGGAGAAAATAATGATCAGTGATTATCTGAACTCATTTATTAGCTAGGTACTGTAACAGCCTTCATGAATCTTTGAAGGCTACTGTGAAATGAGGAAATAAAGTGGGGATGAACTACATCAGCACACACATTACCAATCCTTTCAGGGATACTTGCCCCTCCCCAATTCACAACCATGAGATAGAAAGCCCCTAAAAATGGCTGTGAGGAATAATTGGAGCACCACTATTTTCAGACTCCATAGATAACTTCATCACAGCGTGTTCGAAACAACTTTGATGACTCAACAGTGTCAGTGTTCACGTGGTTGAGAGTACACACAGTCTCTAAGTTTAGAGGTAGGTATACTGCTGAGAGAGTTTTCCATAGTAAATTCACTGTTTTTAAGTCCATATTAAGCTTCATGTATGAACAGTAAGGTACCACAGCAATTTAAGAATGGAGTCATTTGTCAATTGTCAGAAAAAAATATTGTAAATCATAAGTGTATCCAGAAGGCAACAAATTTTACTGCATTTTCAGATGTTTCCATATGTACAGAATCGGATATTTTCCATGTATTAGTGAGTAACAGCTTTTTTTAAAAAAATTTTCTTTATTATCTGCAATAAAAGCAATTTTTCCCCTGTGAACTCTTTCCCCTTTAGAGAGGGCACAAGAAGTTGGCATATAGAGATGAACTCTGAATTTTGAGTTTGGCTTCATAAATATTTTAGAGTATCTGCATATGAAGAAATAATTACAACATATTTAATTCCATTAAAATAAACACAAGAGATGAATAACCAGTCTTTTTGTAATAACATTAGCAGTTATACACATTCTACAGAGTCAGGGAAGAAAATGTTACAAATATTACTCTATCAGTGGTCTTGGAGAAAAGGAGTGAATAAGAATTTTTTTTTAGTTTAATATTTATCAGCATACTAAAGTCACTTAACAGCCTACCAATGCAAATTAATTGTTTGCCTTTAAATTGTTTGCAATAATGTAATAATATTACATTTCAAAAATTACTCTTGATAGCAAGGCTTCAGAATCATGTTGTCCTTGATTCTTTGTATATTTAAATAGAAATCAAGATGCAGCTGTAGTTTCAGTGTGAGCATTTTTTCCAGGAGGTTAGTTTTAGCCAGATAGTCAAAGCACAGCTCCAAATTCTGATCAGATGATGGAAGAGAAGTATGAGTTGGTGCTGACAGAACTTTGGTGGTAACTCCTCACCTTGGGTCTTTGTTTCCTTGAGTTAAGTTGTCATGTTTCATTACTGATCAAACATTATAAAAAAATTACTTCACACTAAGAAGAATTGCACTGTAGACCATAAATCACATTAAAACATTATACATAAACTATATTTGAGAATCCTCTTAATTTGTGGACATGCGATTATCCTTGATTAGTTAACAAGGACTGAAAAAGAGCTTATTCTCTTGGAATGAGATGCTGATATGAGATATGCTTAATATCATTGAAACACACATGAATCAGTCCTTGAAATTAAGTGTTGGCACCTAGTAAACAGCCAAATAAAATAGTACCTATGCCAGTTGAATGCGTTGATTTGGTAATATATCTGTATAAGAAGCTACTTAAAATTCTGAATCCAGAGACTGGAGCGCCTGGCCTACTAGAATTAGAAGACCTGCATCTCATATCCTCTCCCCAAGCCCAACCTGGCTAGAGTGATCTCTGAGTGCAGAGCCAGGAGTAAGCCCCGTGCACTGACAGGTGTGAGCCCCAAATATGAACAAAATTCTAAATCTCAGGAGACATCGTGACCGTACAATCTGCATTGTAGGATTTCAGAGTGAAATGCATCACCAAAAACTTTTATAAAACTAGGAAATGGACATTATCCAATAAAAACAACTCCCTAGACTTTGATACAGGAACTGAGATAACAAGGTATGTGTGTGCATGTGCATGTGTGTGTGGGGGGGGAGGGGGCAGGGGCTGGGGGAAGGAGAATCTGTGACTGACTCCAAGTGACATAGTATGGTGGTGGAGGGCTTTTGTTACACTAGTTGAGGAAGATACTTACTTTGCACACTAAAACCATTACACTATTATCGCCCTGTCAACTCTATCACATATATTAAAAAATACTTAGAATCTCTGTTGTTGAGGCATTAGATTTACTATGCCTCATGGAATTAAATGATGGCGTTTTGTGGTTTTAAGACTTTTATTACTATTTTGAGACTCACCTGCTGCCTACTGCGCTAAGGAGGCAACAGCACAGCGGGTAGGCATTTGCCTTGCATGAGGCCGACCCCGCCGACCCTGGTTCGATTCCTCTGCCCCTCTCAGAGAGCCTGGCAAGCTACTGAGAGTATCTCGGTCACCCAGCAAAGCCTGGAAAGCTACCCGTGACTTATTCAATATGCCAAACACAGTAACAACAAGCCTCACATTGGAGATGTTACTGGTGCCCATTCAAACAAATCGATGAACAATGGGAGGACAGTGCTACAGTGCTACTATTTTGAGAATCTGGCATGCTTCTAAAATTTTTGCTTTTCCTCTTATTTTTTTTCTATCTGCTGTATTTGTTTTAATGGATTAAACAAATTTAGAAAGATTTA